ACAAAAAAAAAAAAAAAAGAAAGCTGTCAAACAAGGAATAATATATATTTTGTAATTGGAAATGAAAACAAATAAATATGGGCGAACAAATGCAAACAAAAATTTTCTGGGTTTTGGAAGTTAATTTCTCGGCTTGAGAATCTAAAAATCAATCAACCAATCAAAATTTTTCAAACAATACATTACATTGTATACAGTGTACATACATCGAATTTCAACAAAACATATACACTATTGTGAATTTCTTCTTATATTGTATATTTTGTTATGCAATGCTGCATATTTTGTTGTGTTATTATGTGTGAATTTCTTGTAGTATAATTTGTTATGTAATGATGCATAATTCATTATGCTATGTGTTTTTTTAACCGGTATGTTAAATATTGTATCGGTAATTATATTGAATATTATATTGAATGAGCGACCGGTACACGATTCAATTGATTTTACACTTTTACCGTCTATGTTACTGATTTCAATAAATATTAATTAATTTATTGTTATAATATAAATATAAATATAAATAATGTGGGAAACTAAATTTAATAAATACTAAAATTAATTAAAATCTAATAACAATATGCAAACATATTGAAATTAAGTATAAAACTTTCGACCAATATAAATTTATGAATAAAAATATATTAATAACTATTATTTTAAAAAACAAATCCTCTATATACATGGTATTGTAACCAATTTTTTCTTGTATATTCTAATAAAACTGATAATTTTGTATGTAAACCAATATAAACCGATATTTTGACCAAAACGATATTTAGAGGCTAACCGTCGTCACAATATCCAGTAGTAAATATCTATACGGCACGATCTTAAACACGGGTTTCAACAATAATAGATGAGAAACGCACAAGAACAAAGAAAAAATAGCAAAAAGATTCAACACTGATTATTCAAAAGTCATCACAATTCGCAAGGGGAAAATTCTCAAACCACAACCATGTTCTGAAAACAGAAAAACACAAATGAAGCAGAACAAATGCTTCATTCATCAAACAAAAGCACAGTCAAATCAGGCAACAGAAGCCATGTGGACAATGAGGTCGATCACACGAGAGCTGCAACAAAAAAAGAAAAAAAAAATCCAACAAAATCGTCAAATTCTTGAAAAGGTACAGCGTGCCGAGATTTAACTTTTTTTTATTTATTTTTTTACCTGTAACCCCATTCGTTATCGTACCACGACACGAGCTTCACGAATTTACTGCTCAGTGCAATTCCAGCCTTGGCGTCAAATATGCTCGACCTGGACAAAACGTTCCGGTTATGATTACAAAAAAGCCCAGTACTTTTATGCAAATCTAAAACTTTTCAGGGGCAGTATTCGTAATCTATACCTGCTATCACCCACAAAATCGGTGGACACAACATCATCTTCAGTGTAACCCAAGATGCCCTTGAGCTTGTTCTCAGATTCTTCCCTGAGAGAACGTATTATTAGAATTCACAACAATCTAAATCTTCCTTTTTTTTCGGGCAGAGTTTCATTATTTGTCACTATGGATAAATAATATAACTCACTTGATGGCATTTTTTATTTCTTCATATGTGGCCTCTTTCTCCAGCCTTACTGTCAGGTCAACAACAGAGACATCAACGGTGGGGACTCGGAAAGACATGCCCGTTAGTTTGCCGTTTAGAGCCGGAAGCACTTTCCCAACCGCCTTCACAGATTCATAAAAAAAGAAAAAATAAAAATAAAAATCCCAAACATCTAATATCTTATTAATTAGTAAACTGTTAGGTGTATGACCATAAAAAGTGCAAATTTGTTTGTATGAACGAAATAATATTTGATAATAGAGAGCCTATAGTAGTACAACCACTCAAAATCAATTTTTTTTAGTCCCTTTGAACTCAAAACTACCAGCCAAAGTTTTCAGTGTGTGCAAATATCTCATCATTCACTAATATCAATGGTAAATAGAATTGATAGTTAAATAAAATGGAACCTAAATACCTTGGCAGCACCAGTGCTGCTGGGAATGATGTTGAACGAGGCAGCCCTTCCACCTCTCCAGTCCTTGCTCGATGGGCCATCCACAGTCTTTTGAGTAGCTAATAGTTTGTATATACACAAAATTATAGTACAAAAAGTTAGCCAAAACATATAAAAATGCAAGCTTTGAGTTACCATGACTAAAGAATCATCAACTCACCAGTAATTGAGTGGACAGTGGTCATGAGGCCCTCCACAATGCCAAACCTATCATTAATAACCTGTCCAAAAAAAAGAAGCAAAAAATATTTAAGAGCTCATCATCATAGACCACAATATTGAACTAAAACATGAATTTAGAAAGTAGTAGTAAAGAAAAACTAATAGATAATTTAGTTATTATAACCTTAGCCAATGGGGCAAGGCAATTTGTGGTGCAGCTAGCATTTGAGACGATGTTCAACTCGGATTTGTATTCCTTCTCATTGACACCCACAACAAACATTGGTGCATCTTTGCTGGGGGCAGATATCACAACTTTCTTGGCCCCACCCTGATTTTCAGAAGTGGATTTATAAACGGGCAAAAGGGAGTACAAAATAAGAGATGGTTTACAACTTTAATTCAAGTTCTCAATGGTTTACCCACTTTTCATTCTAAGAACAATATTTCAATAGATACATAGAGAAAAAGTACCATAAGAACAATATTACAAAGGAAACTTAATCTAAAAGATTTAGTGATATTGCTTCTGAAATGTATAGACAAGAATGTACAGTCCACATGGAACATAACAGCCAAAAAATTGTTAAAGGATAGAATACACAGAACAAATTAATACAACATGGATAAGCAAACGGTTGATCAAGAAAAACAGACCCAACATTTCATTTACTGAGATAATTTTACAGCTATTTGTCAAAATTAAAAATACACTGCTATTTGTTTACTGCTACTCATCTTCAACGCTCCACATAACATGTGCACAGGGGTTAGGACTTAGGACCATTTTGAAGTATACACTTGGTGAGTGATTTTAAGGAGGACAAATTCTTGTTTTATACTCAAAATCACAAATTATTAACTATGCAAAGTACCTATTTTTAACTTTCAACCATATACTTGATTCCCTCAAAATCAACTCCATTTACGGCATCCACAGAACAAAGTTCGAACAACAAACAAAAACAACAATGGTTAATCAGGTCAGGTACACTTGAGATTCTATCCAACTACAATTCATCACAGCTACATCTAGTCTAGAATAAAATAGCACTGATATTCTTTCCTACTTGACAAAGAGAACATGCAAATCTCAAGTTACATCTGCAACTACAACCTAGCTCAAGCACTAATCATATAGCATAAGTATGGGGATATTAATAAGAAAAAAATGTTTATGAGTTTATGACATGAGAACAAGAAAAGTAAAAATTAGATTAAACAAAGATGAGAGACAAACCTTCAAGTGAGCAGCAGCCTTATCCTTGTCAGTGAAGACTCCAGTAGACTCCACAACAAACTCAGCCCCAGCTGCAGCCCATGGGATCTCTTCAGGGTTCCTAACCATTACCAGCAACATAAAATAAACACAATTGCTCAACAATTACAACACAAAAACTGAATTAAGAAAGGGTAAAACAAATGACCAATACCGGTAGCCGAACACAGTGACCGGCTTATCACCAAAAAGAAGGGTCTTTTCATCCTTCAGCTTCACCTCATTATGCTTCCAGTGTCCATGGACACTGTCATACTTAAACATGTATGTCTGCAAATTTTTTTAATTTCATTTTTTCCACCATAAGTCAGGTCTAATAGCAGATAAACTACAACACCTTACTGATTCATTAAAATAAATAAATAAATAAAATAAAATACAAAAAGATGAAATTTACCATGTAATCAGTGCTGATGAATGGATCATTAACAGCAACAAGCTCTACATCATCTCTTTGCAGAGCAACCCTCGCAACCAAGCGACCGATCCTTCCAAACCCTAACAATAAAAGTCGCAAAAATGAAACAATCCAACAAAAAGATCAGATTTTGTTGGTGCATAACAAAACCCTTTTCAGAATCAACAAAAATGGTGGAGAAAAAAAGGGCTAACCATTAATCCCAATCTTGATCTTTGCCATGAACCCAGAAAGAAACAAAGCTAAATCAGAATTTTTACTGTGTGTTTTGTGCTAATTGATTAGAAACAGATCAGAGAATCGTGAGAACCCAAGTGAGGTTGGGGGTATTTAAAGATCCTTCAAAAGGCCGGTTTAGTGGAAAACGGTGGGTGCCGGTTCTTGTTTTTGTTTCTTGGGAAAAAAGAAAGGAAAGATAAATATTGAAAAGAATTCAATTTGGGAATCCAGAAATTGAATTTGGATGTAAATTTTGTGACTTTATTGAAAATCTTTCTAATTTACAATAATTATTTCGAATTATAACCTTAGATGGTATGGCAAATGTTGAATCTGGAATGGGAAAAATAAAAATTTCCATAATTTAATTGTGCTATTTTATGTTAGCAAATCAAGTATTATATTTGACTTGTTTTTTTTAAAAAAATAAAAATAAAAATTGGTGAGATTCAAACTAAGGGAAAATGTTACGAAACCATTTCGTCGGGATTTGTAACCGTTAGATCATCTATCCTCGACGATTAAATGATGATCTAACGGTTACAAAACCCGACGAAATGGTTCTGTAATGGGACGGTAACATCTCCCCAAACTAAAATATATTGCATCCGCAATTAGAGCCACCAGTATGGCACCCTTGAATATTATTTGATAAACTCCATTGATGATATATAGTCATTTTTTGACATTTCAAAGATAAAAAAGTTAGAAACTTTTGATTAAAATTTGTTGAATTTTTTACCCGGAATAGAGTGCAAACCATCAACTCTTGTGAGCATCATTTCCAAACAGCTATATGACTATCAGCTATAGTGTTTCAGATAACTATTTAGGGAGCAAATTTGCGCAGATTTTTTTAATATTTCCTACAATTTTTTTTTTTTTTTGGGAAT